TTTTTTTTAGCTTCTATGTTTGTTACAATGTTCAAACTGCAGGCTCAGAGGCCTGCAAGGCAGGCGGGGAACGTTGGTTTCCTCCGTCACTGAAGGAAGCAAGCCTCATGTTAGTTTCAAGCTGCCTGGCTGCCGGCCGCCATCTTGGCTGTCAGTTAATTTGCATATCTCCCTGATTAGCCAATGGGAAGGGTAGCGGTCGTACGCCAATTACCATGTTTCTCTTTTATTAGTGTAGATGATTGGCATAGTTCAATACAATTTCTAATTTCCAGAGATTAAAATATTAGCTATTTTCTTTTTTCCATACCCCCCCCCCACAAAGGCATCAATTATTGAAAGTTTTCTAAGATTCCTTCAGTATCATAATTTCTGTCATCAGTCAGCTAGTCTGGAACATTACCAGTGGATGTATTTGTCATGGAAATGATTTAATGTCGAAAATATTGGAAAAGGTTGAGCTATGGTATGAGGAGTTTCTTATATTTCAAAATTCTCTAACAAAATCTGTGTGGAAAAGGTATCATATGTTCGGAGGCCATGAGAATAATCACTTCAAAATAGGAGAAACTATTGTAAGTCATAACCACCACTCATCCAGTGCTTACTGGCTGCAGAGTACTTTGCTGAATTCTCTATGCATGTTTGTTTATTTAAATATATTTACTGTTACTGATTGAAATGCCACTTGTGTGATTGTCCTCCTCCTCCTACCTCTGTGGAGTTTGTTTATACATCCATGCCCTCTGATTCATTGAATCCCTAATGTGTGAGATAGTATGTGAGCATGTAATGTGTGCAAAGTGACCACATTTTCTGTACTCCAATTTAGAAGAGCTGAGGTATTTAATATTTAAAATTTTGGTAGGTTTCATGCTTTCATAAGAAAAAAATACAGGCAGTCCTTATTTTTGCATAATCCATCCACCGAAGGCCATCTGTGTTATTTCCATTTGGGCTATTATGAATGAAGCTGCTATATGTATTCATAGGACTTAGGTCCCCTGTGAACCTAAGTTTTCATTTGTCTCAAATAAATGCCCAAGAGTTTAATTGCTATGTAATGAATATCACTGGTATTGGTTGTTTTTTTTAAAATATACTTAAATAGAAACATCAATGATGGGAGAGAATCATCGAATGGCTGCCTCCTGCACGCCCCCCCTCATTGGGGATTGAGCCCAGAACCCAGGTACATGCCCCTGACCGGAATCAATCCTGGGACCTTTCAGTCTGCACTCCTATGCACTATCCACAGAGCCAAACCAGCGGGGGCACTGGTATTGTTTTTAATTTCGGGAGTCCATGTGTTCATTCCAGTATATAGAAATGCAATTAATTTTTATATGTTTATCTTGTATACTGTGACCTTGATGAACTTGCTTCTTAGTTCTAGGTGGCTATTTTTTTGTAAATTATTTGGGATTTTCTATGTAGACAATCATATCATTTGTTAATAGGGACAGCCTTATTTCTTCATTTCTGATCTATGTGCCTTTTATTTCTGTTCGTTAACTTCTTACACTAGCTAGAACATTTTGCACTGTGTTGAATAAGAAACGTGAAAGCAGACCTCCTTGTCTTGCTCCCAGTCTTGGTGGGAAAGCATTCAGTCTTCCACCCTTAAACATAACGCTAGCTGTAGGTTTTGTGTGTGTTCTTTATAAAGTTGAGGATAATTTTCCCTATTGCTATTTTCCTCAGAGGTTCAATCATGAATGGGTATTTTGTCAAATGATTTTTATAACAATTTTTATTATCATGAGGTTCTTCTGTTAATAGATGGGATAACATTGATTGATTTTTAAAAATTATTAAACCTCCCTTGCATCCCTGGAATAAACTCCACTTGGTCATAGTCTATAATTAATTTTACATACTGCATATAGCAAATTACATTTGCTGATATTTTTAATGATTTTTGTGTCTAAATTCATAAGGGATATTGATCTGTTTGGTATCAGGTAATGCTAGCTAAATAAAACAAACTGAAATGTATTTCTCTGCTCTTGTTTTCTGGACGAGATTGTATAGAATTGGTGTTAATTCTTTAAGTATTTGGTAGAATCTTCCAGTGAAATCATCTTTCGTAGTCCAGAAGTTTCTTTTGGGGGAAGTTTTAAATTAAATGTGTATTTAAATACTTTGAGAAGTATTTTTAGTATTACTTATCCTTCCCATTATTCCTCTTTCTACAAACGTATACTACACACTAGAAATGCTGCAATGCATCAGGTATAGAGAGGACTAAGATAAAGGTGTCACTACCTTCCTAGAGCTCATGGTCAAGTGGTAAACGTAGGCTCTTTCTGGTGGAGAAAATATTAAAGTTTTGGGGTTACTTTGTTTTTTTCTCTACTAGTACTGAAGTATATACAAACATAAACCCTGATACAAACTGCAAATGTAGGGTTTATGTAGCGATAATACAAATGAACTCAGTGTAGCTTCAGAAATGCATAAAAATGCAAAACAGGGTCAAGGAAACAAATGAATAATAATAGTGATATTTATGACATGACATTGATTGAGCACTTGCCACATTGCCTACACACATTAACTTCTTTAATGTTCCCCTAGCAGACTATGATGCAGGTGTCATTATTAACCCTTTTGGAAATGAGGCCATTCTTAAATTTGAAAGATAAATCCCTCTCCAGAAATGTGGAGCATCTTGCCCCATAAAAAGTGTTTCCCTGTGTGCTTCTGGGGTCAGGGAAAGTCAGAATGATTTTTGGTAAGTTGATAGGTAGGATTTATTTGCTAACTATTTATTGCTTACATGTATCACTCTGTGTTATAACTGAGATTGGCTTAGCTTGCCTCTATCCCCACAGCTGCTAATCATATACCTCCATCCCCATCCCCACCAACAGGTTATAAACTTTCAAATTTTCTCCCACCTCAAAAATCTCAAAGAGTAAGAAAGAATTCTTCTTCAGCCTGTATTCAGTCTCATTTTATCTTTCACATCCTGGTTCAAATGTCACCACTTTCATGAACTCTCAAACTAGTCAAATCAAATTCTTCTAAGTAATGATAATAATTTGTTTTGTTATCACAGTAGGATTTGTTTTATTGCTTGGGAACCAATTTGAGGTCAAAAACCTTGTATTCCCAACTTCAAGCATAGCCCTTGGCACATAGTAGATTCTCAGCAAATGCTTGTGAAATGGAATTGAGGAATATTTTTTCAGTGGCGGCTGGGATGCCTCTCCCAGATGTATTTTTATCATTCTATTGTTATCCTCTTTACTTTAGGCCTATATGCATTTCAGTTATTGAGTACAATCCAAAGGTGACTGTTTCATGTAACATGTTCACACTTTGTTAGCAAAGATATATTATTTTCCTTTAATAAACAAAAATTCTTTGTTGACTTATTCTAGGATGTTTCTCATGATGTATATGGCTTTTATCAAATTAACTTCTGGAAGAATGGACAAAGAGAAACTATTAAATTGTAAATTCAGCAAGTAAGTATTAAATGCTTTTGTAATATTTAAGATGTACATAATTCCAGCAGCAGTTGAAGAAAGCAAATATTTATATGACAAAGTAACTTCAGTTTCAGAGGTTTTTTAGCACCTGTTGAACTATTACCATCAGCAGATGCTGAATATTTTGTGGAAGAAAGCCCAAGGAAAAAGGGTTGTAGGCATAACATATTTATTTTCTTATTTTGATTTTCCAAGAAAAAATGACATTTGAGACTTATAATTAGACAAGATAAATGTCATTCAAAAGCATGGGTGTCCCACTAGGAAGACTGGAGTTAAAGACATCTGAGATAACATGATGCCATCCTAATATGATTAAATGTACCTCACTTACAGCAGAACACTTGTTTATTAAATTCTCAGTTCACAATAAACAAGGGAGAATTTCTATAAAAATTTAAAGAGCACTCAAGTTTTATTTTCTTATATTCTCAATTCATCCTTTAGTAGAGTGGCTTATTATTATTAATAGTGAATTGGTTCTTGAGATAATAATTAGCCTCATTTGACTTAAATAGATGTTCATAGATACTAAACACACACACACATTAATGGCTTAGAAGGCCTGATTTAGTACCGAAGACCCATCTCTTACTGAGGCTGGACAGTGTTCCTTACATTCTTTCAGAGTTCTCTTTCCCTCATCTATTTTTAAAAATATGTTTTTATTGATTTTATAGAGAGAAAGGGAGAGGGATAGCGATATAGAAACATCAATGAGAGAGGACCATTGACCAGCCATCTCCTGCACGCCCCCCACCGGGGATCCACCCCACAACCTGGGCATGTGCCCTGACTGGGAATCGATTTGGTGACCTCTTGGTTCATGGGTCAATGCTCAACCACTGAGCCACACCAGCTGGGCTATTTTCCTCATCTATTGAATGATAATAATACTCTCACGGGCTATATCCCACAGTTGCTATAAGAATCAAATGAAATGACAGCTTTAATAACTTATTTAATGAGGTCATAAAAATATTTCCTGCTCACTAAGTAGGGTCTGTTTCTATATTATTATTGTTATGTAGAGGTTTTTTGCAAACTCTAAAATTGTCTATAAATTTGAGGTATGGACCCTGGCCAGGTGGCTCACTCAGTTGGTTAGCGCATTGTCCTGATATGCCAAGGTTGTGGGTTTGATCCCTGTTCAGAGCACATACAGGAATCAACCAATGAATGCATAAATAAGCGAAAAATAAATCCACGTTTCTCTATCTCTAACTCTGTCTCTATCTCTTTCTATCTCTCTTTCCTTCCCTCCCTTCCTCTTTGTTACTAAAATCAATTTAAAAAAGTGAGGTAGCATTATTCTCTTAGTCTTCTCAGGGAATTACTCCAATACCCTGGTCTGTCTTACAACATTGCCTGACCAGGAATTCTGCATACAGTAGATAATCAATAAATGCTATCAGAACAAGTTGTGTCATAGGCTGTCCCATCTGTATATTAAGGATCTTCCATTCTTCACACAACTTGCATTTGAGAGCCTCCCCTTTCTTATTCCTTTTGCTTTATCATAATGATCCTTTCCTAGAACTCTCTAGTTATTTGATCATTATATTGTATAAATGTAAGTCCTACTTAGGGAGGACCTTGTCTTTCTTGTTTACTACTAAATCATTAGTGCCTTTTCAATGCTGGCACACTAGCCAGCACCAAATAAATATTGTACGAAGTAATGAAGGATGGATGGATGGAAAACTTTCCCAGTAAGGCTGTGAACTCATCTAGAGTAGAGCTGGCCTTTATTAATGTCTATTTAAATCACCCCCTAATGAGCAAATGTTATAGTAATCCTCTCTGGTGATATATGATCATTTCTAATTAAATAAATTAGTAACTTAACCCAAAAATAATAATTAAGAGGAAGAAAATTTAAAGCAGGGCTTGGAGCACCTGGTAGATTTTGCCATGTAAATATTTATATTTTCTTTTTCTACCTAGGATCAGGGGCCACTTGAAATTTTTAGCCTGGAGAAGAGAGTACTCAGAGCAGTCACAGTAACTAGAGCTATCTGTAAAAGTGCAGAGAGATGTCATGAGGAAAGGTCAGCTTTCTTCTGCTTGGCCTTACCTGCAGAAACTATAAGGTGGAAAATTGTTTAATGTGAACCTAAACCTTCTAATGATTATAACTCAAAGAATTATCCTGAAGTTAGTGAGTTAACTATCAGGTACTCAAGTAGAAACTGCATGGCCATCTGGTGGTCTTTAGTGGTATGTTGCAAGAGGTTGGCAGAGGAAGAGACCAGTTGGTCTCCAAATGTATTCCTAGTTAGAAATAACTCACCATAGTTAAAGCAACAGAAAAACAAAATTACAAACTGAAAGCTCGATTTTTGTCCACATATAAGTCCAAGAAAACCTAATACTAATGAAAAAACTTTGTTTCTATGACTTTGACTACACTGAAACATTCAGTGGGATTTCTCAAATCCTACTCATATTATACATATCCCATTAGCTTGATCCCCAAATTTGGCAACTGCAGAGACACAGCCACTGATAATTATGCATTATGTAAACAGTTGAAGGGCTATGAAGAGCTGCCTTCCAAATGTGGGCTTTCCTCAGAGATGTTGTCGGTTCGGATCTAGACCACTGCAATAAAGCAAGTATCGCAATAAAGTGAATCATAGTCTTTATGCTGTTGGCAGGGCTTGCCTTCAATTTGTTAAAAATGCAACATCTGTGAAACACAATGAAGGAAAGCATAATAAAATGAGGAATTGCCTGCATCCGTTCTTGATTAAATTCAGGTGAAAATACTTACCATCTTGCCTTTATTCTCTCACAATGTGGACAAGTTGTGTCTGCTACATAAACTCTCAAGTAAGAGGAAATAATACTCTGACTATTTCTCAGCAGGTCCTTGACAATACGGTATCATAGAAAGCTCTCTAGGTCCACTCAATGGGAGCCCATAGAGGGTAGATTCTCTATCTTAGTTTTATATATGGCAGCCAAAGCAGAGTCTGGAACATAGTGGATGCCCAGTAAATGCTTGTTGTTTGAGAGCTATGAACATAATGTATCAAGTAGGCTACAGCTTTGAAAAAAGAACCAGGAGGTCCTATAGGGTTTTTGTTTAGCTACTTTCCTCCACATGAGATGATGCCTTTTAAAATAGTGTTGATTATGGCAGACAAATGCACGAGGACCATCTACCTTCCTGAACACCCAGACTAGCTTCAGGCGAGTAGGAAGGCAGACCAGGAAGCCATGGTGTTGTGACTGCTTCTTGGATGGCATGTCCCTTGAACAAAGGTTCCTGCTGGCTTCAAGAGGACACTAAGTTGGTCACCAACTGACTTAGGAGGAGATCGAGGAAGGAATTGCTCATCGGGTGAAGTCATACTCGATCCAGGCTAACAGTATGGTCAAAATGGCTGTCACACTTTGATTGGGGCTGGCTTACCTTTGTATTGGCTAATTCTGGGTATCAGATTAGCCAGATGGGCAGATGGTCTTGACCCTGGGTGTAGGTCTCCCAAGAATAACCCAATAAATTCATGCATTTTATATACTATCACTACCAATACATTTCACATATTTAGTTATATAAATCATTGTCAGAAGGGTCACCTTTTACATTGTAAATCCAATACTTTTTAGGAATTAATACACACAATTACTCTTTGCAATGAAACTCATTATATTTGAGTAATATTAAAAAACTCCTGCTAATATATCATTTAATTCTATTGATCAAAACAATATATTTACAATTTCAGCAGTTACTGATGATCCTTGAAAAACATCTCTGAGGGAGTGATAAAACATTTTTCTTCCAAGGAGTAAATCAGTGAGTGTGTGAATTGTCTAGAATTGACTCAATGTGAGCAAAATCCTGGCTTCTCCTCTAAGCTTTGCCTCTCACTGTTTGACTTTACATAAGCCATTTAACCTCACAAGGGTTGGTCTTTCATTTTAAAAGTAGGAGATTGGAGAATATAGACCCATTAGATCCGTTTAGTTCTAAAGCCATGATTCTGACTTAAATCACTCAAAATGGTGAACAAATGGCAATCCAATGGGTTCAAAGTAGAAGGGGCAAGTGTGAAGTACCCAAGAGAATATTAATAACCTGTTCCTTTGGCAGTAGAGGTTCAAATGGCTCTTGAAGACACACTCCAGTCTAACAGAGTTTCAACCTATTGTTATTTTTAACAATTACATAAGTGGGGGACATTAGCATAGGTTTTTCTGTGCTGTCAGGGTTACAGAGGGATTTTTTGAGCTGAGCAAAGGAAAAATGACTGACTGGTACATTTAATTTATTACCTTTATTGACTTCTGTAGCTCCAGTGCAGTTGTACTCAGAAGGCCCATACCAGCTAATAAAAGAGGACTTTAGAATTGATGTAGCAAATAAAATGCCAAATAAGAATGCCATTGTTATTAAAATGTAGTGACACTATCGATTTAAAATAAATATATTAGCCAGTTTGTTGTGCATTTAGGACTGGACCCAGCCGGTGAAGGCACCATTTGGGTTACAGGTTTACATGACAAATGAAAGGCCTCTTACCAGGAAGAGTAATGCAGTTTTATGTAACAGAATTGCCATGGAAACAGAAATAAATCCTGAAGCTAAATAGGGCTGTGAATATCCTGTCTTCTGAGTTCAGCTCCCCATGCTCCATAGAAGATATTCACGTGAGGCTTACCATGGTTTCCCTTTTAAATGAAAAATTATAGACTTGGAATTTCTCAACTCATTTCATTATTGAACGTTTTCTTTACACCGTAATTGATGTGAAGATGGCAGGCTTAGACAAAACAGATTCTGCTCTGCCTCTCACACCTCCACTCAATTTTACACACACACACACACACACACACACACACACACACACACACCACCTCTCACCTCTGCTTTCCAACTCTAGGTAGTGTATAATAAAATATTTGTCTGTATAAGATATAATACAGGCATGATCCCGAGTGATTCTGAGACATTCATATATGGCTTCTTAAATGCCAAAATCATGTGTTGATATGTTAACCAGGGTCTATATAGCTACCAGAGACCATACTCAGATGAGAGCAGTAAATTTCCCTGCAATTCAATGTCTTTGGTATAAATGTGCATGCTCCTGTGTGTGTGTATCATTTTCTTAATAATAAACCAATTAGTAAGTGCTTGGTATTCTACTCTTAAATTCTGACAATTAAGAAAGCCTGACAGATATGTAGTCTTCCCCCCCCCCCTTTTTTTGGTTCTGAATGCTCTTGGAATGGCCTGTCTTTTATAAATAAATGCCCATCAACCTTGATAATCAGCCCAAAATGTCCTTTTACAGGCAGTCACTAGAATCTCTTAGGACAGTTTTAAAACAGCCCTGAGCATTAAAAAGTATCCTGGCAAAAATAAAAAAAAAAGTATCCTGGAAACAGTTTATTTTTCTGTCTGTTTAACCCTACCTCAGTGCTAGACATGATCAGGGTCTTGTTTGCTTCCATGAAGGCAAGAATCAAATCTATCCTATTTCTTAACTGTGGCAACAGTGCCTGAAACTGTGATTGACACATAGGTATACAATGAGTATTTCTGGCATGAATGTATTGAGTCAAACCAATAGTTTCAACAGTAGAATCGCTCTTGTAACAATTTCAATATTCATAGAAATAAAAAGGAATACTGTAGTAGTCTGGAAGCAAAGATTGGCTGGGATAGTTGCTATGGGCTGAATATTCATGTCCTCCCCTCAAATTCCTATTTAAAACCCTAATCTCAATGTGATGGTGTTTGGAGGAGGGGACTTTGGGAGGTGCTCAGGTCATGAGGAAGGAGCCTTCTGAAGGGAGGTTAGTGCCCTTGCAAGAAGAGGCAGAGTACTAGCTAGCTCCCCTTCTGCCATGTGAGGGCACCAGAAGTGGGCAGTCTGCAGCCTTGCAGAGGGTGGGCCCTCACCAGAACCCAACTGTGCTGGCCTCCTGATCTTGGACTTCTAGCCTCCATAACTGTAAGAAATAAATGTCTGCTGTGTAAGCCACCTCATCTTAGGTGCTTTGTTATATCAGCCTGAACTAAGTAAGAGAAGTAGTCTTATTTCTCATTGCCTATCACAGTGGTTCTCAACCTTGGCTACACATTAGAATCACCTGGGAATCTTTTTAAAATCCTGATTTCTGGGCCTCATCCTCCGGAATGAAATCAGGATTTTAAAAAGATTCCCAGGTGATTCTAATGTGCAGCCAAGGTTGAGAACCACTGGCCTATCAGAATGTGGCACAACTGCAGAGCTGTAGTAATTGTGGGTCTTAACTCAGTTCCCAGCAGGAATTTTAGAGTACAAGGAATCATTTTCTTAGTCAACAATTGTTCATGGAGACCTAGTTAAAGATTGCACCCTCCAAGTAAATTAAATAAAGAAACTGATACTCTAGCAGCTTCCTTGTATCTTTTTTTAAAAAATATATTTTATTGATTTTTTGAAGAGAGGAAGGGAGAGGTATAGAGAGTTAGAAACATCGATCAGCTGCCTCCTGCACACCCCACTGGGGATGTGCCCGCAACCAAGGTACATGCCCTTGACCAGAATCGAACCCGGGACCCTTCAGTCCGCAGGCCGATGCTCCATCCACTGAGCCAAACCGGTTAGGGCTTCCTTGTATCTTTTATTTCAATTATTTATGTATTTTAGATGTGAGGGTTAGGAAGAACTAGAAATATCCAGCAACTTTTTTCCTGTTTTCTAATTTGCTTTGAGTGACTAGACATGGCCTTGAATATGGAAAGTGTTTTTGCTATTGTGTGGATCTAAAGCTTTGAGTGGTTTTAAAAATAGATGAAAATCAGATTTGCTGTTCTTCCTCTACATTCCAATTTATAGCTTTTACATAAAATTGTACTGAAGTTTTAGTTATGACTATATTCAGTGTCTCAAAATAATTTTTGACCTTGAGTTGATGAATTGCCTATTTCTTTTAAATAGTAGTATTTTTTAAATCCAATTCAAAATATAATTTCTGAATAGAGGCTTTAAAATTAATTAATTGACATTTGCTTATTATGTGTCAGACACCGAAGTCACTGAAATAGAGAAATGCTTATAATCTCAAGCTCACCTAAGGCATGTGAGCCCCTACTATATACCGAGCTCTATGATTTATGAGGCAAGTTTAAAGTGCAGATAAGAGCTGATAGGATAGTTAATGAGAATAAGACAAAGCAGGCTGTGGTGAAATCCATGGTTTTCACTGATTAAGGGCTTGAACATCTTTCATAGGCAGAATATTTGATGTTGCGGTGGTTAGAAATTCTAACAAGAGTGGCCCCCCTGTCCCTTCCGAAAGAGATCTACTTTTCAAATATGTTGCAATGCAACTGAAGGTAAATTATTTCCAGCTTTAAGAAATGAAATACATTTTATAGTTGGCTGTCTTCTTGAGAAACCAATATCAGATGCTTTGTAAGAAGCTGTTGGCAGAAGGTTTGAATGAAAATCACGGAGCCTTGTCTAAACTCACTACGAAAAGCATAGACACATCCCGAGTTTCAGTTCTTTGAGCCAAATGGTACACATATCTGTCTTTGGGGCCTGGGATCTGAGCCCAAATATTTGTGGATCTTAACTCAGTGCCCAGGAGGAAGAGCTATTCTGTTCAAGCCATAAACAGATTTGCAAAAATGGCAGCGTCTGCTCAGGGGATGTCAGAGAAGACCAGCTCACCAGCTAGAGTTGCTTCTGCTTTGTGGCAGGGAAAGCAGTCTCAAAAGAGCTGTGGGAGATGACAAGTGAGGGGTAGGAATGGAGTAGAATGAGGTAAACACTGCACTAGGCGTCAGGTGAGCTGAGTCAAGCTGATGCTGGGGAGATAGCCAATGGAAGCATCAGATTCTCTGTTTTCGAAAAGATAACAGTATCTGCCTTATAAAGTTGTTGTGAAAAATGTAGGTGTGTGTGCATATGCATAAATAAATAAACAAACAAACAAATAAACACACATGTCACTTTGTTTAAATATATTTTTATTGATGTCAGAGGGGAAGGGAGAGGGAGAGGGAGAGAGAGAGAGAAACATCAATGATGAGAATCATTGATTGGCTTCCTCCTGCACAACCCCTACTGGGGATTGAGCCCAAAATCCAGGCATGTGCCCTGGCTGGGAATCGAACCACCACCTCCTGGTTCATAGTTTGATGCTCATCTACTGAGCCACACCAGCCAGGCAGCACATACCAGTTCATACACAAGCACAAACACTGCCACCTCTCCACAAATTTAAGACATCAGTAAAGGTGTTGGTTGCATTTATTTAAATTTCTGCTTTTGCATCTCTATGTCAGGGGTACTGACAGCTGTAGAGGTTACAGTTCACAGCAAGATCCCTGCCCTAGAGGAGGCCAGAACCACTTGAATAGTGGTCGCTGTATAGTGAAACAGAACCCTGAGGGCAAAGTACCAATATAGGACAGTCTTATCCTTTATATCACATCTGCAGAGTACTCCAGACCCATCACAATCTGGTCTTCAGCATCTTGTCCAGCGTTTTCTTGACTTAAACTTGACCTGTAAGGCTGGTCCGCCAACCACACCACACAGTTTTATTTCCTAAGATTATCCTGACCTTCTGGCCTTGAAGTCTTTCCTTACACTGTGCCCTCTGACTCTAATTCAGATTGTGGAAATCCTGCCCTCAAAAGAATCTAAGTTTGAATGCCGCCTTTGTCAGGGATTTTCATCTACATTCTGCATTATTTAGAAATACTCTTCTTCCTTTGATTATATTTCATGACTTTATCGGTCCTGAGGGTTTCCTTTTCTATGAACTGTCTGTTTATGGCCATTACATTATTTTTCTTATTTTTGTCCTATAGAGTCTGGCTATCAATTCTAGTTCCCCGAGTGACCACCAGAAAAACCTGTTGCTGAAGCAAAGCTAAGTATAGTAGACCTACTTTATAAGTGAGACTACACATTGACAGAGTGTTGGTTGAGTCTCAGAAGAGGGATTTCAGGGGTTCTGGGGTGTTAGGATCTGTCCTGGACAACTTTCAGGCAGCTCGTGCAAGGTGGAGAACTTCTCACAACTAGGCTGAGTTTATGAAATAATGGTTGTTTTGGTGCTTGAAGTGAATATTGATAAGCAAACTGCTAGGTCGTGCAAGGTGGAGAACTCACAACTAGGCTGAGTTTATGAAATAATGGTTGTCTTGGTGCTTGAAGTGAATATTGATAAGCAAACTGCTAGTTTTGAACAGGAACCTGTTTTATTTAGTGGAAAGTCTTATCTTCCAGAAGTGTATTTTCTGGAGCAAAGAGCTAAGTTATTTTTGCTTGCCCTCAGTCTTGTTTTACACAGGGACAGTGAAACTGTGTCATTAGTTTTGAATCTCAACTCCAATAGCAATGGTCTTTGTACACTTTATAAAAGTGCAACTTCTATTTTTTTTTCTCGTTGTTTTAAAAACCCTCCTTCCAAGATATGACTTTGGGAGAAAAGAAGTGACTAGGCTGTCTGTGTTCAAGGTGATCCATTTGAGGGAGTCTGAGTCTCTAGCCAAACCAGGAACCCTTAAGTAAACCTGGGTGATCCTGGGAAACAATTTTCCAACTCAGAA